CAGTCCTGACCAATCTGAGCATCAACATCTGGAGATGGGTCCCTAGGCACTGGACTATAGCAACAACTGCTCCTGACCGGGTGTGCTAGTGGTAGAGCGGCAGCGAGTAATCGACTAGTACCATTTGTTGACGGTTATTGTCTTTTTTCGATGTGTTGCCAAATGTTGTTCTGGCGGTGTATACCCATGCAGATATAACTAGCTACTGATTATAAACTCAACGCTGGATCCAGAGTTTTTATCCCGGAGAAAAAATTATTTGAGTGTTTGATTAGAATGCTTAATTCTTATCCCTTATTTAAGCTACAATCGGGTCAGCAAAGAGATCGTCCTGTTCTCTCTGCTCAATATTATATAGAGCTACACAAATTATACATTCAGTACAATTGTTGTTGTACACAAATTAGTAACTGACTTGTTAACAACTAAAATAATTGTTAGTGACAGCAAAAAGACTCCAATGCGGTGTTAACTCCAAATGGCTCAATAAACAAATCCGCAATTGTCACATCTAGAAGCAGTCAGTCCTCTAAATGGCCTTTTCAATTGTTGCGGCGATTGGGAGCCAGCTCTCCATTGTTAGCTGTGGCTACATACTATCCCCTTCTTCAAAAGACCCCCTCAATAGTAAAGTAATGTGACTTCCCATCCACAATTGCCCATTCTGTTGCTACCTACTCAATCTTCCTCGGTTTTTCTTTCGCCTTCTATCTGATTCTCTCATCCATTTGTCTCCCGAGCACCCAAGCAACGTTCTCCTCCAAGGATTTGGTTGCCAGGAGACGGGCTTCGCTCCCTATTGTATGGCGATCCGCGACAAAGGTTGAGGGTTGGAGAAGGGGGGGTTTCTGCTGCACGGGTCATACAATCAACAGGCCCAAGGAGGGATTTGGACAGACCAGCGATGAGTGCCTGACAAACAGCCACGTCACCAGGGTGGGGGGCGCGGGAAGGACCACTAGAATGAATGAAGTGGTTGTGGGGGTAAGGGTGCTCCACATTCCTTTTACTTATTCCCGGCGCCCCAGTAACCGCAGGAAATGCTGTGTCAGATTGTAGTAGCCACAGTGAATAGTTATTAAGAATGTTTTTAATTAACTTTGATTCAAGAGTATAGGGAAATAGTTGTCTAGTGTGTTTTATATTGGAAAACAGCAGTACTAGCCTACTACTTTTTTCATGGACATCCCGTGGATACTACTAATGGTCTTCCCTACCGGCTCATTATATTCGCATTGGTTGGAAGAGGGAAGGCCTGTTTACCCAGCGATGTCATTACTCTAAATAAAGCCGGTCTGTCTCATGCACATGCTGAGGGTGATGATAGACTTTGAGCTCACATTATTGCAGGATACGCTTACTAAATGTTGACTGTTAATGATTAGCAGATAGCAGCACTGTTGGTGGTGAAGGAGATTGAGTAAGCTTGCCTTTTCTGTGGTAACCAGTCACTGCACTGTACAGGATTATTCATTCAGGGGTAAGCCACTGTTGTGTTGAAATGCATTTTAGGTGTGTTTAATCTCAAACATGAAGACATGAGATTACAAACGGATATTATATAGGGAATCCATCATTCTTAATGTATTCTTAAGACTAAGTTTATCACATCCTTGAGGATAATTTCTATGAAGATGATCTTTTTTTTTTTTTTTTACCTTTGATGACCTTTTTTTTTGCTTATATACAGTTGTGCTTAAACATGTACACATACAGGAAGACATTTCCCTAAAGAATATAAAGATTATTACTGAGAACAAGACTTTTTTGCTGTTTTCAAATTCTGATGACAACCAAAAACCTCTCAAATGACCCTGATACCATCTATTTCTTCTTTTAATGTAAGTACATCTATGACCGCTCAGTCTTTTGTGGTGGATGTGAGTGAGATTCTTTATCCTCTTCTATGGTTAGTCCATTCTTCTTGAGCAAAAGCCACCTGTTCCTGTATATTCCTAGGCTGCCTTCCATGGTCTTCATAGAAAACATGTTTATTTGACAGTATATGGTGTCACACAACCACTAACAATGAGTGTGAAAAACATGTTCATATTCATATATTGTATTGTATTGTTGTTCGTAATTACTGCCTGGGTGTGCAAACTTACAAGCACAACTGTTTGCGTGTCTTAAGCAGAGCTGTGCCTTTCTACTCTCCCTTTGTTGACTCCACTGCGTGTGTCTTCCCATTCATCGGCGAGCCACTAAACGTCATGTCCCACTGGCTGAACTGTAATTTAAACGGATGCCTGTTCACCGCCTGACGTCCGCCATTGATCTAACAGCTACATCTTACAATGTCCCTCACTACCTGTCAAGCCAACATTCACTCATTCTGATAAACGCTTCCAGCCCAGTACTTTCTCTTTTGAGAGGCAATTTTCATCTCTTTAAATGCATCTTTGAAAAATGCTTTGGCTCTCTTAAGCAGCCGATGAATTGACACAGCTTTCAGTCATGCACACGCCAGAGCTGATAACCACTCTGACAGTGATCGACACGCCTTGCTCTGCTGTATATTGCTCGGCGTTTGTCTTACTTTTGCTGATGGCTACGGATCACACTCTCGCCAAGGCCGTCCGTCAAAACTTTTGGTTCGAGGCAAGGAACTACAGAATTGGCGGCCATGATAATAGGCCCAGACTGTGGACAATGCTGGGTGTGACGGACCACTGCCTCTCCCAGGATGTGTTTAATGGTGTCTCTGTTATACATAAGAGAAAGAGGCCAAAAAGCTGGCATTCATGGGGAATAAGATGATACTCTATATACAGTATTTGATTGCGTTACAGTGGTTCCTTGTTTATCGCAGGGGCTTCTAAAAGTAACACGCAATAAGCCAAATCCAGAAGTAGCACCTATTTGTTTTAAGTCTGTAAAACCCCTCACCACACTCAGTCTTAAAAGAAAAGTGAATAATATTATACAGTTTTTTTGCCCCTTGGAGTGTTGTAGGTGGTCCTTAATGACGTGTAAATAGATCATTTGAACAAGAAAAAAAAAGGTACAGGGAAGATCTGTACAACATGTATATATATTTTTTAAAATAATAATATATGTTGTACAGACCCTCCTCTTGATACCGGTTTTGTTTTGTTTTGTTTTTTGTTGTTCATTCTCTTGTTGCCCATGTAAGTGGGTATGGTGCTTTCTGTATGGTACAGAATGTTACAATTTTGTCTGGTTCAAAATTAAGTATTCAAATCTAATTATATGAACAAGGAAAATGCACATTAATGCTTAAATAAAAATACTTGAATGTAACGGGACCCCCTCAAAAAAGAGATGATTCATCTCAAGGGGTCATCCACAATAAATAAATAAACTAGTGAAAATGACATGGCTTTGAAGGGGCCTGGCTCCCGGCCTATATGCCATTTCATTATTTCTAGCTGTAAAACTCTAAATGAGTTTTAAAAGCTGTTCCCTCAGCGTGCTGACTGTAAGGTGTCATGTTGTCAGAAGGATTTTAATGTGTCAAGGCAGCATGCAACAACTCCTTTCTCTCTGACTGTGCGCGGCTTGACGTCTTCAAATTCCATGAATGGAAGCTCTGCCTCCTGTGCTTAACACCAAGAGATCATTTCCTGGTGTTACCGTTTTGAAAATAAACATGATGAAAAAAAGGATTATCTGTGCAGCTTTAAACTGGTCAGCAGTTTTTTTCCCAATACTTGTAATATGCCCTGCTCTGCATAGTGGGATCTTAAGTCGTATATTCCGCCCTGAGTGCTTTAAAACATGCAGCATTTAAAAAGCACTTCACGCTATGCTGCAGCTGAACCAGGGCATGGTTTTTACATGAGAAGCTAATGCAAACACTTCCTGGCTATTTGACAGGTTATTTCATAATTAAGTGTTGTGTACAGACAGTTTGAGAGATGTAATATTTTATGATGTTTTAACATAAAGGCGCGATGAGTCTGTCGATATGCAGCACACGACAATCTGGATAATATAATACAGTAGATATAATTTTATAAAAAAATTAAACCATACGATGTTGGTTAGTAAAAATAGAGGCGTTTATCTAATGCTTCTCGCCATTTCAACATAAATACAACTCTTTTTGATGCATTTATATTTAATTTCTGGAAGATTAAATAAATGTAAATGTGCACTTTATTGTCCCCGTAGGGAAATTTGTCCTCTGCATTTGACCCATCCTGATGCCACTAAGGCTTACATCAGGAGCAGTGGCGGTAGTACAGCGCCTGGGAACCCATCTCCAGATGTAGGTGCTCGGCTTGGTCAGGACTACCGGGGCTGGAGGATTTTACCTCGTGAGCATATTTTTAGTGGTAGGGGAAACCGGAGCACCCGGAGGAAACCTACGCAGACACGGGGAGAACATGCAAACTCCACTCAAAAAGGAGAACCCAGGACCTTCTTGCTGAGAGGCGAGAGTGCTATCCACTCAGCCACCAAGCCGCAACCTTAATTAATTGAATTGATTGTTATTAAAGTAAAAAGAAATACACAAACATTAATTTAAAACCTATAATTTAAATTTGAATTGTATAACCCAGTGTCTCCCAAAGTGGGGTCCGCGGCCCCCTGGTGGGCCGCGAGGGTACTGCAGGGGGGCCGCGGGAGGTCATAAAAAAAATATATAAATATATATATAATTATTTAATGTTAAATTTATAATGTTTTGTTTGTAATATTAAAATATTTGTGTTCATTATTTGACTTGAATAATCCACTGTAATCATTTTTGTATTACAATGTTTGTAGCAGAGGCTATTTCCCCAAAATAAAATAACCAGAAGAGCCTATTCTTAATGTTGTCTTCTTGGTTATTATTTTGGGGGGCCACGCAGACCCGTCAAATTTTTAAGGGGGCCTCGGTGTTACTGAGTTTGGGAATGGCTGGTATAACCTACTACTAATTTGTAATTGTAAGATATTGAGTGGACCTCAGTATCTGTTTAGCCTTATAAACTCCTTATAAACTAAAAGTAGGATGAGTTCTAATTAAAGAGTGATTTTCTGTGCAGGTTTGGTGTGCGGCCTGGAGATCACCTCGTCTGGGCCACCGTCCATAGAGAAGGCCAGTGGTGAGAGTGTGAAGCTGGACTGCCAGTTCACTCTGGCCAATGAGGACTCTGGGCCCCTGGACATAGAGTGGAGCTTGCGGGCGCCTGACAACCAACGGGAGGACATGGTGGTAAGTGACATCCACACTCTGAGTCATGATGTCACTGAATCACATGGACTGAACTGAACTACACGGACACACACAAGCTCGTCCGCTGCTGGCAAATATACAATTTACTAGAATACAATCCCCTTTACATTGAGGAAGGGATTAAAACGACTCTTCACTATCTTTCTATTAGGATTATTCTAAAGGATTTATTCTCTTAAACATAGTGCTGAGGTAATTACTTTTAAAGCCCATTACCCATAATTGCCAATACTAATTACCTCTGAACATGAACACTTTGGATACGTTAAACAAGACTCAACCAGAACAATTATCAAAACACACATTTTCATCATAGCATTTATAATGTTAGCATACTTTTGGCATATTTTTGACACTTTCAAATCAAAACTAATCTGGATAATTTATTGATGTATTGTATTTGAACACATCACGAATGCTGCAAATGTCACTGAGGACAGAGGTCAGGATGCTTCTGTTTCTAGTAAAAAGTAACTCTGACGTCACAAGTATCGAAATAAGTAACTCATATCAATAATAGTTTTGGTATGGATTTATTTTGAGCTGTTGATATTTTTTCACAACCTCAATATTGATATTAAAAGGAGTGCAAAGGATAAACTCTGAATTACAGTGAAGTCCACTGTTTTTAATAGTTGTCTGATACTTGAATGAATAGTTGTCTCATTTATTGGGCTGTGAACTGTCAGCTTTGTTGATATAAGTGGTCGAAATGAACTGAGGAGTTTGTGGTTATTCAAACAATAAGCACAAATAAATACATTTTTCCGATGTTGTTTGATAAAAGCAATTATTCATTACATGAGACAACAAATGCTGATCAGTGACCACGGTTCCCAGGTCCCACATCTTCAGTAAGGGAATGAGCCCCAGGGAATCATCATTCATTCATTTAATTTGTTCTTTTTATTGTTGAACTGGAGTTGATATCACTACAGAGCCTTTTTATTCAGATACAGTATGTATAAATATTCCTCATACCATCCAGGTCAGGTGGAGAGTGGTGGAGCATAGCTAATACTCTTTGCTTTGGTGAGAGTAGCCAAGTGCCATCCTATGAACAGAGATACGTATATGCTTTTGCGTCGAGGTGAAGCGGCCTTTGGCTGCTTTGGGAGAACAAATATAAAATGTTTTTTTTTTTAAATCCAAAGATAGACTTTTGTAAAAAGGGCTCATAATGGGTTAGAAAGATGTGTCTGCTTAGTTTCTACAAAGCCGCCTCTTTTGTCCTTGAGCATATCGACAGTCTTTGTTTGCTGAAGCTATTGAAACTCACCGAACATTAGTGAAGCACTTTGGCATCGACAGATCCCAAGCAGTGGCCATGTTTGGTTACATTCTTGTCATCTTGGACAACACATTGTTTTCACCTTTTTGCTTTGCTCTTATGTTGAAAGCAGCTGGAGGCCGGCCTGTTATTGTGACGGCTCAGGAGCACTCCAGTTAAAAGCCCTGATAAGACTGGCCTGCCTGACAGGTTGTTTAGAGTAGAGTGGAATCAGAGCTTTCTGTTTTGCCTCTCAAATCACCCTCCCTCCTCCCGTGTGCTTGTATGTACCAGATGAATACAGGTCTGTGTCTTTAAGTCCAGGGGCTGATTGGATCACAGTGTGTCCTACTTGATATTGAAATATGCACACAGACACTGCGCCTTTGTGTCCTCTTATGCCTCACCGGATTGTCTAGTCATTTGACCTTTTCATTTCCACTCTCCAGGCGTTTTAAATTATTTTTCTCATTGGATCATGATTTTAAAGGTTATTGCATTGTAGTATGTTGTAGTCAAGGTGTGCATGTGTATGAGCTTTCTCAGCTGCTGCTCTTGTCTGTCTGGGCTCGGGGCAATTTAATTTCCTCTTTGCTGTGGACGGCTCTGACATATCACTGTTATTGCTGATGTTAAGATCCTGTTTGGAACAGGTTGTTGCCCTCCCTGGAGAACAAAACAGCTTCAACCCTGTTATTGGTTAACATGGCTAATACTCTCAAGATGCTCAGTTGAGACCAGGCCTGTCTCATACCAGTGTAGTTCTAAGTAGAGCAGTTCAATTTAATCCAGACGAGCAGCAGACTGATAAGGGTTGTCCATTTAGTTCATCTAGACTTCTAGAGATTATCATTTCAATTAATTGATTGTTTGTTTAGATTGAAAAAGGCCAGTGAGACTTTTTGCTAACCCTTATGATGCCATAGTATTCATGCTTTCCTGTCCCACCCTGCTTTATTTGGGCTATAAAACCTATTGCCTACGTCTATGCTTTGACAGATAACACAAGTTGACAGCCAAAAAATGGTCAGGGGTTTCTCAACTGATTTAGACTAATTTTGGTGTTCTGAGTCCGAATATCACATGCATTTTGCTCTATCAGGTCAACTTTTTGAGATACAGCCATAGTGTTACGGATTATGTACGTCTACGTTATTATGAATTTTGCTTATCAAATTTGATGGAGTAAATAAAAACTGAATGACTTTGGATACGTTGACTTTTATTTCTTGAGGAAAATGGAAAAAAATGTCAAAGGGTTTCTCAGCTGATGATCCGCAGAAATTTGTTTTTTACGCAAAATCGATTTTAAAAAATATTTCTGTAGCAAAGAATCCTGACCTGATTGAGCAAAACCAAGGTCATTTTCGGACTCTGAGCATCAAAATTAGTCTTCAATTCAGCTGGAAAACCCTGGACTATTTTCAAAAAATATTTTTTTGTTACCCAGTGTAATGGTTATTCACTGACTAAATTGGTTGACAATCATGAAATACTCAATTTACTCTTACCCATAGCTCTTAGTGCTTACCACTGCTTTCTGGGTGTCAAAACTTTAATATTAAATGTTCAATCCGCTTCATTTTTGTGACTGCGTGAAAAATCTTTAATATTTGGCTCTAGCTGTTTTTTGTTACATGTCTAGATTTTTAAGGTGTGAACCCACTAACAAGAATATTCTTATGATCCTTGCCTCTTTAGGAAATCTTTTTGTGAAAATGCCTTATATTACTTGTCTTTCTGGTATTGATTATGGCACAAAACTTCATAATTGTCAGCTTTCTGGCCTCCACCTGGCATTCATTACAGGGGGGTTCTTGCAGGAAGAGTTTGTATGTGAGATCTCTGCTCTTTGTTGACACAGCAGGTGCAGATTGGCCCCACAGCGGCTGCATTGCTTGTCCCTTCTTTATTCTTCCCCAGCAGAGAAAGGGCAAAGCAGTGCAGATGCCACACTGAAGGACATTGCGGAGATAAACAATAATATATTATATTTTGTGTAGGTTTGTTGAGCAGCCATTTCTTTTCCAGGAGCTCACTACTTTCATTTCAAGGCTGTTTATAGTTTAACACACTTTGCCCCACGCATCACTCTAAATCATTTCTCCCTTTATTCCTCCAGGTGCTGCTGTACGCTGGGGACAGAGCTTATGAGGACTACTATGCACCCATGAAGGGCAGAGTCCACTTCAACTCCCCTGACCCCAAAAATGGCGACGCTTCCATCAGCCTGACGGGCTTGAAATCGTCAGACTCAGGAACATACCAGTGCAAAGTGAAGAAGGCTCCGGGCATCCGCAGCAAGAAGATAGGGCTGATTGTGATGGGTGAGTGCCAGCTCTGCCCACAGGAGACAACGCATTACACAAGGCCTTTCTGCACTGTTGTAATGCATTGTATCACATGGCCTTTGCTCTTCTTGGCTGGTGTCATGCACTCCTCCTAAAAGCTGCCTCATCCTCCTTGTTGTGGATTCTTCTGCTTTTTATTCTTTTTTGTGAATAGTTACTTGAGCTGGGAATCTTTCCGCCCATACGATACACATGCCACAATCTATACGGAGGACTTTCAATTCTATACATTTAAAATCAAATGTTTACAATATCAGTAGGCTTTTGGTCCATTATCAAATGCTCTCTAACCACTAAAAATATGTACAAGTGTAACCCACTAGACCTTCAAGCCCAGTTCAAACAAGTTTATAGCTGTAAACTGCCTTAATTAGTTTAGAGTAGTAAAAGCATTGGACCAATGCAGAGCACCCTGTGAAGCCGCTCCTTCTCTCTGGTTGGTCCTGTTAGCACAGCCTCCAACGTAAAGTGATAGGAGTAATGTAGGGGTGGGCGATATGGCCTAAAATTCATATTGCGGTATAATTTGGGACACAGACGGTATATATTGCGGTATAATTTGGTGTGTGAATTTCAATATAGGTCTAGCAGGTTCTTGCATAAAATAGTCAAGATTGTTACTTATTTATATATTAGAATCTAATATATATATATTTTGAGTTAGAAAATCAGTTGTGAGACGAATAAAGAGACAAATGTTGTAACATACATTAAATACCATTCACTGTAAAAGCAATTTTAAAAAAACTAAAACATATGCATTCATTTAAAATATAAACTCACAAATGTTTATCAAAGTCTGTAGGAGTTAGACATGGTCATTATTTATAGTGTCTGAGAGTTTTGTGCAGGTACATGACTTCAGTAAAAGCTATTGTTCGTTTACAAAGCTGGTCTTGCCATTTGTTGACGCTCCCTAAGCGCTTTTCTCTGCGCTTGCAGTGAACTGGATGATTCAATGGATTTATGTTCATTAAAACAGCGCATTGGATTTGAACAATTGATGTAAATGATCATTTTGGCACAATTAATTTTGTTAAACAAAGTAGCTTTCGTGAGATATTGACCGCGGAGGTCCGATCTGACGCTAACTTTCGCAAACTTCTGATGTGATGCTGCTGCGGACACGGCACATGGATCTATTTTGGCTCACGCTGGCGCTTCGAGCCTACGCCCCTTTGACACTGATTGGCCAAAAGGTAGACTCTTAAACTGTGATTACTGTGTGTGTATTTACCTCTGCTGGGGCCGCTGTGACAACAATACGTTAGACAGAAACACGGTGTGAATGCCGTGCTGTTGTTCGTTGTTTCCAGTGGTGTCTGCTAGGCTAATAGTGCTAGGCTAATGCTGCTGAATGCCGATTTGTTTTGGTCATGGATCTATTATATTAACTAGATAGGGTATTACTAGCTTGTAGCTGAATAACTCATGTGCTCGGGGGATTCTCGCGGTACTGCAGACTGAACTAGACTAAATTCACGTGGGCTACCCAGAAATTTTGCCCATAGAACTCAATGCATATCAGAATCAGAATCAGAATCATTTTTATTGCCACGTAAGTAACAGGAGGTCACAGACTAGGAAATTGCTTTGGCTCAGTGCAACAGTCAAAAAGAGATAATAAAAATAAGAATAAAAAACACTTCTAAAGAATAAATTTAAATTTAAAATAGAGTTACAGTTACTATTTACAATATACAAGTGCACATGGTGCACACAATGTAAGGTGAACAGCAGTACAGTGAAGTAAAGTGACGTATGATGGGCAGTAAAGTGACTTTATAAAGGGCGGGGGGACAGGTTAAGAAGTGTTCAAGAGTCCAACAGCAGAGGGGAAGAAACTGTTCTTGTGGCGGGAGGTTCTAGTCCTGATGGACCGCAGCCTCCTGCCTGAGGGGAGTGGTTGGAATAGTCCATGTGCAGGGTGAGAGGGGTCGGCTGTGATACGACCAGCCCGGCCTCGAGCTCGGGCGACGTACAGGTCCTGCAGATGGAAGGCTGCGGCCGATCACTTCCTCTGCAGAGCGCACAATGCACTGTAGTCTCTGTTTGTCCCTGACTGTGGCTCCAGCGAACCACACGGTGACGGAGGAGGTGAGGATGGACTCGATATTAAAACAGCTCAACCTCAGCTTTAAAATCCACACTTTAGTGCCACAAACTCTGCTCGTCTGGCTCTCGCTCTAACTCACGCGCTGATGAACTGCTCTGATTGGTCAGAGCGCAGCCGAGCCCCTCTGTGCACGTGCGTGATACCAGGTGTGAGACCCACACACGCGTGTTTGGCGCAACACATTATGGGAGATCATCCACTGCGCAGAACCGGGAGGACCAGACGATGCCCAAATACAGGTGAGTTATCCCCACAAAATCCGATCTTTATTAAAGCTGTAGGTTCTCTGTCAGCTGAGGTCGAGCTGTTTTAATATGCATTGAGTTCTATGGGGAAAAATTCTGGGTAGCCCACGTGAATTTAGTCTGGTTCAGTCTGCAGTACCGCGAGAATCCCCTGAGCACGTGAGTTATTCAGCTACAAGCTAGTAATACCCTATCCAGTTAATATAATACATCCATGTTCTCACCCCCGCTCCTCGGAGCTTACATTACTCACATTTCCTGTTCAAATCTTCCTCTAAATGGGCGTAGCCTGGAGGACTAAAGGGGGCGTGAACGAGACTGGGCCGTTTACATTGCTCTGCTGGTCGGCCGGCAAAAATTAACAATGACATCGTTAATTGGTCAAATACAGCTTTATTGGACTGATCAAAATATCAAACATTATTCACACGCTGTATATTACACTATAAATACTGTTAACGCTGTATAAACCTACTTGTTGCAAAAAATAACATTATTCACACGCTGTATAAACACTATATTACACTATAACGCTGTATAAACCTACTTGTTGCAAAGTTTGCATGTTTTATCAGAGCACCTGATTTTAACTTTATAAAGAAAGCGTCATCGCTTGTTAAGGGAGTCGGGACGGAAATTCAACATTGACACTGAACATTCAGCACTTTTTAATGTGTGATTTACGAGATCACGGGATACCAACCTTTAGTGAACTTCACCAGCCGTCAAAATTAATAGACACAGCTGCTTACAGCGATGATCGCTGATGGAGACGGAGACACGCGGTGTGCACGAAGGGGAGGGGCTGTGTGTGTGTAGGTCTCTGTATGTGGGAGAGACGCGTAGCTTGAGTGAGAGTTACGAAGGGCCGCCACATTTTAAACCCCCCTCCCCGCTGTCAAATTGACCGCTGCGGCGGCACTAGACGATGCATGTTTTAAATAGCGTAACAAAAAAATATATATATAATAATACGAAACGCAATTTGTGGCGGGCGGTCTCTAATCTGTGGCGGTGCGCCACAGATTAGTCTATGTGTGGGAAACACTGCAGTCAGACTCTTGTCTTCTATATTGAATATTTTTTTGCTTCTGTAATGGGCTGTTCCCTCTGTTCCCTCTTAGATGCGTGCGTGCGCAATCGCGCTGTTCTTTTGGGGTCTTGTTATAAAACATCCATGGTCTCAGCGCACAGAAAACTCTGTCCTGCACAAAATAATAACAGCGTCCTGTGCTGCACAAACGACACAGCCGCGTGTTTCTACAGTGTATGGACCGCAGTGGATCTGTGCGGTCAGGCCCCATTCAGAATCATAGCTCTCTGTCTGTGACGATGAGGAACACTGTCCGTGAGTGCAGGAGAAGTGTTCAACGCAGAAGTCCGAAGCTGCGTTTGATCCAGAACAGAGCTAGGACCAACCTCACTCTGCACTCCGCGAACCGCAAATGCGGACTCGGTCTGGCCGCGGACTTGCGAGCAGTGTCTCACAAGCGCTACACCAGCTGCTGTGGTGTGTGCGTTGAGCTACACACACGCACATACACACATACACGTTTTTGTTACCTGGTGGGTCCCTTTGACAGGGCCGTTCAGAATGGGACCCATAGACATAATCTTTTTTTACTGGGACTACTTTAAGTAATACAAAACAGTCAATAGAAACCAAACAACTATTTTAAAGGAATTTTATTTTAGATTTTGTTTTCGAATTGCAGTGATTCTATTTTTGACATAGAATTTAATGCCACTCCATGTCCGATGTCTAAGGTCATCTGGTGAGGCATTAATGCAGGCCAGGCAGTGAGACTTCCCAGGGACCTTTCCAGTCTGTATGAAAGGTGTCATGGTCTTCTCCACAGCCTTCACCTCAGATGCAGACCATGGCTTTCTTACACGTTCTAGGGAGAGAAATAAAAATATATTAGCAATATACACTCCCAGGGTTAGGACCAAGCAGCCTGGCTGTAATCCCCCACCTGGTACACTTACCAGAAGGGGCACTGCCACTACCATGGGGTGCATCTGGATGAATGGTTGAAGGTTCTCCGCTTGAAGTTTCTTTTAGCCCGTCCGTTTGTGAGAGGATCTCTACTGCTCTCCCTGTCGCACAGAAAATAAAAATACAAGTGGCCTTTAGGGGAAAAAAATCATACATATTTTAATAATATCAAGAATTACCTTCAGGCTCAATTTGTATCTGGTCGAGGCTCTTTCCTTCGAATTCCGTCACTCTTCCCTGCTCCATGGCCATCAACACTTTGCTGATTTTGGCCAGCTCCAGTGTCCCCTCTGGTAGTCTGTAATATTGCCTGTGGATGCGAATGTCATGGCCGAGGAAGTTGGCAAGTATGTCCATCTCATTCTCTTTCATATTGAGAACTGTAGACATAGTAGCTATGTGCTTTCTAAGTTTGGTTGAGGATAGCATCTCTGGATGCACCGCACCACATTCTTTGGCTACCTGGCGTAGGGAGTCTGATCCCCTGATGTGGGTGTCTGCGCCCGGGCGGGAAAAGAAGTATGGGTTATGGTCAGAGATGGAACAGGCCCTTCTGTTCTCCACCAGCACCTCCATCGAAGCAATCAATTTCAGGAGTCAAAAGAACCGGCACTTT